ATGTGTGATAATCACACGAACCTGCCTTTATAGAAAAGTAGCAAATACTGCAGTTTAATAACTAGGAAACTAATCGTTTTCTCAGTGCTGCTCGTGCAGAGCTGGTAATTATCTCAAAGGAAGCAAAGTCATGAATTGGGAATGGCTGTCCTTGTTAAACACACATCTGCACACTCACAGCCGGGGCCCTGTGCCCCCTCGCAGAGGGTTGGGTGACAGGCTGGCTCTGTGTGGGCCCAGCCACGGTGGGCCCAGCCCTTCCTCGGTGGGCTCTGTGAGCATCAGAGGCATGGGGGGTGAGCGGCTCAGGAGCAGGTGGCAATTCAAAATCGATAGCTGCTTTGAGGTGGCCTCTCCACAGGGCTGCCATAGTCACCAAGTCCAGCCCACACCCAAAGGAACAGGAATGAGCTCCTCCTTTACAAATAAAAAAAAAAGACAGGGTCTTGCTCTGTGCCCAGGCTGGAGCGCAATGATGCCATCATAGCTCACTGCAGCCTCAAACTCCTGAGCTCAAGCCTCCTGAGTAGCTGGGACTACAGGCACGCACCACTACACAAGGCTAATTTAAACATTTTTTGTAGAAATGGGGTCTCCCTATGTTGCCCAGACTGATTTCAAACTCCTGGCCTCAAGTGATCTTCTTACCTCAGCCTCCCAAAGTGCTGGGAATACAAGTGTGCCCAGATTGAAGCTCCAACTTTTTTTTTTTTTCAAGACACAGAGTCTCGCTCCGTCATCCAGGCTGGAGTGCTGTGGCACGATCTTGGCTCACAGCAACCTCTGTGATGCTCCGCCTCTTTTTTTTGAGACGGAGTTTTGCTCTTGTTGCCCAGGCTGGAGTGTAATGGCACGATCTGGGCTTACTGCAACCTCCGCCTCCCTGGTTCAAGTGCATTCTCCTGCCTCAGCCTTCCATGTAGCTGGGATCACAAGTGTGCGCCACCATGCCCAGCTAATTTTTTTTTTTTTTTTTGAGACGGAGTTTCGCTCATCACCCAGGCTGGAGTGCAATGGCGCGATCTCGGCTCACCACAACCTCCGCCTCCTGGGTTCAGGCAATTCTGCCCCAGCCTCCTGAGTTGCTGGGATTACAGGCATGCGCCACCATGCCCAGCTAATTTTTTGTATTTTTAGTAGAGATGGGGTTTCACCATGTTGACCAGGATGGTCTTAATCTCTTGATCTCGTGATCCACCCGCCTCGGCCTCCCACAGTGCTGGGATTACAGGCTTGAGCCACCGTGCCCGGCCTAATTTTGTATTTTTAGTAGAGACGGGGTTTTACCATGTTGCCCAGACTGGTCTTGAACTCCTGACCTCAGGTGATGCACCTGCCTCGGCCTCCCAAAAGTGCTGGGTTTACGGGCATATGCCTGGCTGAGGCTCCAACTCTTGAAGGGAGGAGAGTCTCAGGAGGGTGGGCAAAGTTGAAAACCATCTCAGCATAGTGTCACCTGCTCCTCTGACAGTTACTTCTCCACAGCATTAGATTCTCAGTCTTGCCCTGACACGGATGTGCGTTTGGCCAGTTCTCCAGATAGTCTGAGTAGCCGGTTGATATGTTTGCAGTATCTGGGGACAGGCAGGATGGGTGCCGTCTTTTTCCCTCTTGACCAGTTTCCTAAAGGATTGGGCCCCTGGCAGCCTCCAAGGGTGACCCACGCTCCATGCTGCCCTCTCCTCCTTTTCTGTTTAACCTGTGCAGCTGGAGTGTCTGGTGCCTTTCAGCCCACTGCCGTCACCTATCTCCCTGATGACCAGATTGGGCTCCTGAGTCCCCTGGCGCGACCTTAAGAGTCTGGGAGCCCAAGACCCTTACTCATCTTGTGCATTCCCTGGCCCAGACCGGAAGGCAGCCGCCCTGCTTAGAGCCTGGGCCACTGTCATTCTCCTGGGTGGTGCTTGGTTCTATGTTTGTTTTTTTTTCTGAATGAAAACACATTGTGATTCGTGGTGGTACATTCTGTTCAACTCTGGACCTTGAGGCTCTCCCCTGACTTCACTGACCGTGGAGTTGTGTGGTGTCCATGTTATCACCTGAGAGCCTCTCTGCTGTCTCCACAGCATGCAGGCTGGAAACGACCGCCACCCACCACCGGCATGGCTGCAAGCCCTGTGGGACTCCCTAGGCGCATCCCAGAGGGATATGGGGTCAGATGCCAGTTTCAAGGCACCTGCCTGCGAACTGACTTTGCTATACTTTATTTTTATTTTTATTTATTTTTTTCCCCATTTATTTATTTTATTGCATTTTAGGTTTTGGTATTTTTTTGTTTTTAAGATGGAGTCTCGCTCTGTCACCCAGGCTGGAGTGCAGTGGTGCGATCTCACCTCACTGCAACCTCTGCCTCCCGCATTCAAGCAAGTCTCCTGCCTCAGTCTCCCGAGTAGCTGGGACTACAGGTGTGAGCCACCACACCCAGCTAGTTTTTTGAAATTTTAGTAGAGACCAGGTTTCACCGTGTTGGCTAGGATGGTCTTGCTCTCCAGGCCTGTGATCCGCCTGTCTCGGCCTCCTAAAGTGCTGCAATTACAGGCGTGAGCCACTGCGCCCGGCCGATTTTATTATACTTTACATGTTTGAGATTGCCTGTTAACTCAGATCTCCAAGACAAGGTAACTGGGGTGTCCCGTGCCCTGGTGAGTCCCTCCTGCCCACAGACAGACACTTCCTCTCAAGGCTTCTCTCGTTTATGTGATGTAAGCAAACCCTCCTTGCAGCCTTGATGGGCAAGCATCCTCTGAGGCTTCTCCCGATGGTGGGCCCCAGGGGCCATGACCTGTGACTGCATGTCCAGTAACAACTCCTTCCTTCTGCACAGAACCCAAGCAGAGGAATCCTCCCAGGTACCAGGTACCAGTGGAGATGGGGGAGTTCTGCAAATGCAGGAGCTTGGGGATGTCCATAACTGACCCCAAAGGGCAGGCTTATTGGTTGGAGGTCCGCCCCACCCCAGCCCTGCAGGATCACCCCGGTCAGGCCAATGTTGTCTCCAGGGACCATACCAGCAACCCCTCTCCCTAGGTGCCTCACCCTCCTAGGTGCCTGAATTTCTGGCACTGGGTGTTGAGGGCCCCACTGTTTTCACTCACTCATCCAGCTAGCATTTATTGAGCACCTACTGTGTGCCACATGCTGTTCTAGGGATGGATACTCCTGAGATGGATACAGGAGTGGATGAGAGAAAGGTCCCTGTCCTCACAGGGCCCATGTTCTACAGGTGGCTCTTGAGTCTTGTACAGTCCTTTCCTGCAGGGGTCATGCTGGGCAGAAAGCAGAAACCTGGCCCCAGGGGCTAGGCACAGGCCACGCGTGGTGCCTTCGGGACAGGTTCTCTGTGCACCTCTGACCCTCACCTCCCCCACCCTCTGGTCTGTCTCCTGCAGGAATGTGGCCTGCTGCGGAAGGGGACAGTGCTGCTGGCTGACAATGTCATCTGCCCAGGCGCGCCAGAATTCCTGGCACACGTGCGTGGGAGCAGCCGCTTTGAATGCACAAACTACCCATCGTTCCTGGAATACAGGAATGTGGCGGATGCCCTGGAGAAGGCCATCTACAAGGGCCCAGGCAGCGAAGCACAGCCCTGACTGCCCCCCAACCCCCACTCGGGCTCCCTCACCCAGCCTGGTTCTGAAGGTGCCACTGATGCGCTCCTGTTGACCTGCTGCGGCTCTGGGCTGTGTCCTAAATGCAAAGCACACCTCAGCCTGCCATTCTGACCTCTCTGTACTGCAATGCTGGACTGTTCTCCTTTTATTGAGACAGAGTCTTGCTCTGTTGCCAGGCTGGACTGCAGTGGCGCAATCTTGGTTCACTGCAATCTCCGCCTCCTGGGTTCAAGCAATTCTCCTGCCTCAGCCTCCCGAGTAGCTGGGACTACAGGTGCATGCACCACTACGCCCAACTAATTTTTGTATTTTTAGTAGAGACAGGGTTTCACCATGTTGGCCAGGATGGTCTCACTCTCCTGACCTCGTGATCCGCCTGCCTCCGCCTCACAACATGTTGAAGCGTGAGCCACTGTGCCTGGCTGCTCTCCTTTTTCTAAGACTCCATCATGACCTCTTTACTAACACCTGCTAGCTGTATTATCTTATATACTCATGTCATACTTTAAAAATACAAAATAGAAATTAAAGATCTAAGTATTCAGATATAAGTCAACTTAGTACCAACCTTCTCAACTGCCGTTCCCCTGCTGTCCTTGACTTGGGCACAAACATTCAAAGCTCCCCTTGATGGATGCTAGGGCTAAGGGTGGGGCCCCTGGCTGGCTGGGTTCTGGGTGGCATGTCTGGCCCACGGCCTCCCAGCCATAGCAGTGCAGACGCCACTCCTTCTGCAGTCAAGCCAGGGGCACCTGTTAGCCCCACAGGGATGACTGGTGGCTCGGGAAACAGAGAGGAGTCAGCCAGCATTCACACTTGTCTGACCAAGCAGGTGCTGGGGACAGGTGGACCCCACAGCAGCACCAGCCCCTCTGGGCCCCATGTGACACTGAGTGGAAGTGTGTCCTTCCCTAGTCCCACTGGGCCTTGCTTACAGAAGAGGCAATGGCGCAGACCAGCCCCTGCATCCCTGCAGTTGCCTTCCCGGCCCATGAACGAGGATGCAGTGCTGGACTGTGTCCACCTACACCCAGAACTGCCCCCAGCTCCTCCAAGGGTAAGACTGCTGGCCACCTCAGAGGCTCCCCAGTTCCCAGACTCCGGATGACTCAACCCTGTGCTAGCCTAGTCCACCTGTGCCCAGACCAGCCCCTAGCCAAGACCACTCCCGGGCTCAAGGCCTGGCTAGCCCCCACCCAGCCCATTCCTATGGTTAGAGAGACCAGCGAGCCCATGTGGACAAGCTTGGGGCCACCCAGGGGCCAGGAACAGAGCCTCTGCAGGACAAAGCAGAGGGACACCTGGGACCGCCTCCTTCCAGGGCCCTGCCCCAGATGCGAGGGGGGTCCTGACGCAAGGGCGGGGCCAGCCACTTGGGCCAGACCCGGGTGGCAGAAAGCAAGAAGTTCCTTTGCTGCTTTAATTTTTAAATTTTCTTACAAAAATTTAGATGTTTACCAATAGTCTTATTTTGGCTTCATTTTTAATGCTTTTTCTCAGTGTTTTTCTTCTGTTTCTGAGTCACGGACCGAGCAGGCACTGAAAGCAATCCCCGTGCCGCTGCCGAAGGTCAGTCCTGGCGGTGCCGCCCGGGCTCCAGGCAGACGCAGCAGCCCCGGCCCCAGCCAGCATCAGCTGGGGAAGGGCTCCACAGCACAGGGGCCTCGCGTGCCATCCAGACTCTGGGGAGGTGGGACACCTGTAGCCTGACCCCCTTCTTGCTGCTTCCAAAGCTTCCTTGCCCTGGACTGAGCCTCATGAGGCACCCCCCACACCGTGGTCTGCCTGCCTGCAGGGTGCCCAGGAAGCCCCTCCGCCTCATGGAGTCCAAGTTCTTTCCCAGCCCCCTCCCTGACTAGCCACCTGCCCCTGGTGCCAGACCTGGCCCACTCCTCTGGGGCACTGTGTTCCCAGGGGCGCCCTCCTTTCCCACCAGCCCCAAAGCCCAGCCAAGTATTCTTCCCTGCCATCTCCCTGGGCCCTGCCCCAGCAGCCCAGTCAGCCTCCTCGGGCCTTCTGTCACTCGCTCACACACAGCACCATGTCAGTAAACAGCTAACTCAGGCCTAGGGAGTTAGGTGGGGTGGGGGCGGGGGGAGGGCAGGAGGGTGTCCCCAAAGTCAGTCTTGGCTGGGGAGAGGCGCTGCCAAGCCCTGCCGCCAGGGGGCTCCAAGCTCCATGGCAGGATCTGCTTCTTCCATGATACAAGCCCTAAGAACAAGAGGCTGGCCCAGGGCCCTGCAGAGGGAGAGGAGATGGTAGATGCTGCAGCCACCGAGCGGCTCAGGACCACATGCAACCTCAGGGCAGGGCAGCCAACTCCACACGCTACATGGATGGAGATGCAGACAGAAGCAGCTGCCCTGGGTGGTGTGGGCTGACCCCAAGGGTCTTGGCACCAGGACTGATCCTGACTTGCTGGTCCTTGAAGGGCGTTGGAGGGTATGGTGCCTATCCCTACTCTGGTCCCATCTCCTCAGGCCCCTGATCCCACAGTACCTGGGACAGGACCGTGGGCCCAGGGAGCACCCTCCCTCTCTGACCTCCACCTGGTCTTCCCTGGGAATGGGCCACTGGGCTGCTGCACCGGAGGCCAAAATCCTGCGGGGAACATGCGGGAAGAGCGGAGCGTGCAGACAGCAGAGACCAACAAGAAGCCCCCGCCCAGAGAGCAGGAACGGCCGGACGGAAAACCAGATGAGAGAACGTACCAGGCATGCAAGCTAGACCCAGGAGTCAACGGGCTGAGGCTTAGCATCCCCCACGGCGTCCACCAGCCTGACCGTGGGCCTGCTGGGCCCTGGGGGAGGGGCCTTCCTGCTGGGGTCGAGCTGCAGCGCACAGGTGGGCATTAGAGGCACAACAGAGCAGGTTAGTCAGAGCTCCCAGGGGGCAGGGCAGGGGCAGGGCCGAGGCTGGCGATGTAAGGGTGGGCCTGCCAGAGCAGCACAGGGAGCACTGAGGGCGCAGGGAGCCGGACAGGTGTGCTTCACATGGGCGGGGGAGGGGGACGTGCACACACAGAGGCCTGCACGGGAAGCCGGGGGACTGGCACACAGCGGGCAGCAGGTGCTGCCCTCACCGGTGGGCCCTTGCACAGGCATGCACAGAGGGGTGCACACACACTAGCTCACAGGCTCCACCCCATGCAGAGTGTGGCCGGGCAGTGCCATCCCCAGCAGGTAGGAACTGCAAACCCGTCAGTACCCACACGGACTGGCATGAAGGGGCTGCTTCCTGGGCTTGGCCCCACAACCCAGCTATACCCCAGGGCCCAGACCAGACCCAGCCCAGCAGGTACCTGCCCACAGTCACATGGCTACTTACTTTCAGTGGTTCCTTCTCAGAGGCCTCTCCTGCAGAGCCGGTGCCCCTCGGCCTCCGCTCCCTCCGGTCTACTGTGCAGTACCCATCTGCAGATAGGGTAAGATGGGGCGTGAGGGGCGCTCTAAGAGGGGCCCTGTAGGAGCAGATCTCCCTCTCAGCCCAGACACAGGGGACTTGTGGGACAAGGACTTTGGGAGAAGGTCCCCACCCACCCTGTCCTGGAGATCCAGGCTGGTGCCAGCTCTCACCAATACCCTGCCTCACGGTGGTACAACCCCAGCTCTCCAGACTCCCCTCCACTGTGGGTCACAGCCCCCAGCCAGGCACTGACCCCTCTCTAGCTGCCCTGCATCTCACTCTCTGAGCACCCCTAAACCAAGCATCTCTCCTCCACCCAGCACCAACTATACCCCACAAAACCAGCAGGCCCACCTCAGGCCCTGGTCCCCTCCCCCGCACAGAAAGCAAAGCACACCGCGTCCGCACTCACCTGGGCCCAGTGCGTCCATGGGGATCACATCCCGGCTGCCAGTTTTCTCACCCTCTGCAAGGCAGGAGCAAGAGGGGCTGCATGCAGTGGCCAGGGGGGAGCGGGCCAGAGAAGCCCACACAGGGCTGGCCCAGGTCGTCCTAGATGCTGTCACTAAGGTGCCCAACCTCTGCCAGTTGGCAATCCCTCCCGCCCCTACCACGCTTGACACCAGCACGAATGCTGTAGGAAGGGAGCAGCCAAGAGGCAGAGGGCAGGGAAAGGGGCCTGACTATGGAGCCGTCTCAGTGGGAGGCCTCGTTCCCCCTTCACCGTCACCCAAGGCTCAGGCAGTTGGGACAGCTGGGGAGCTGCTGTTGGTCCCCACGCTCCAGGCCCCTAACCTCCAGCACTCACCGAGGCTCTTATCCACCAGTGGCAGCGTGCTGTCATCAAACCCCCCAGGACTCGGTGCACCCTTAGACCCCTTGGCAGTAGTAGCAGCTGACTGAGACATAAAGCAAAGACACAGGGTGGGTGAGGCCCGTGGAGGAGGAATGCAGGGAAGTGAGCGGGAAGGCCGGGAAAGGCGGTACCTGGAAGCGCGCCTTGGTCCAGCCATCTTTCTGCAGGGTACCACGCAGCTCCTTGTAGCTCCACACTGTCTGCAGCACGTGCGACGCCGCCTTTGCCTCCCGTACCGATTGGCTGTGGGGTTGGGATCAGGGTCGGGGTCAGTGGTGGCCCCTCCCCCACCTCCCTGGCTCCCCAAGCCACCGACACCCCCCCACACCTGGAGGCGACGAGAGCCACCAACGCAGGCACCCCGCGTGCCTGCAGGAGCGAGCGTGCGTTATCTAGGCTGTCGGATACGATTTCGTGGATGGTGTTGAGCACAGCCACGACGGTGTCCTCCTCCAGGCGGGCCCCTGGTCGCGGCGGAGACTGTGCATTGCGCACGTTCCGCACCAGCTCAGCCATGGCGTAGCTCCCTGAGGAGCAGGGCTAGGTGTCAGGACACACCTGCACCCCACCCCACCCCTCCAGGAAGGAGCAGGGATCCCCAGAGGGTGAGGGGCACTAAGCTTCAGGGACAGGGCCAGGAGGACTGGAGCTACCCAAGTTGGGGCACAGCCCAAGCGACAGGGGTGGGCTCTGGACTCCCAAACCACTCGTCCTCCAACCCCCACTGTGGGACCCGAGAGCTGCAGGCACAGCTCGCTGCTCAGGCGTGGCTTTGCAGGCGTCCTCACCGATGAGGTCTTTGTTGCGCCGATCCAGCGAGAGGTTGCGCAGGGCGATGGCGACCGCGCGTACCACCTTGTCGGTCTCAGACTGCAGCAGTTCCACCAGCACTGGCAGCCCGCGCTCTTTGCGCACTGTGGCGCGGATGTATGTGGCCCACTGCAGCGGCAGGGAGAGAGCTGCTCAGCTATACACGCCAGGCACTCTCCCACCTCCAGACCCTGCCGCTCCCTCCAGATGGATCTTCCGGCTCCCATGCGGACAAAGCCCTGCCCCAACAGCTCCACAGCACCTCCACCGAGGCTTTCCCACCAACCAGGGTGCACACACTGCCTGCAGCCCATGCACCCTGAAACTCTTGGATCTTGGGGTGGTGTGTGGCTCCTCCATTCCCCGCCAGCCCAGGAAGGAGCTGCACCAGTGGGGTATCTGGGATTCCCTTTCTAAGGACTTGCCCTCCCTGCCAAACCTGGCCCCTCACCATCCAGTTGCCGGCACTGAGGTTCTGCAGGGCACCGGCGGCAGCCTCCAGGGTGTTGAAGTTCCGGCTCTCCGTGAGGAGGGAGAGGTAGAGACGTACCACCTCGGGCTGGTACAGCAGCTCAAAGCCTGGGTGCAGGGCAACCGCCACCCATGGTCACCCAGAATCTGCTCTCATCCATCACACCCCTCCCACCTCCCACTTCAGAGCTTCCCAAGGCTGGGTAAGCTGGGGCCAGGGATGGGTGTGGAGGAGTCATGTAATGTTTATTATCAACATAGTCACTCAAGGGGAAAAGTGTTCCCATTTCATAAAGGAGCAAACTGAGGCTGTTGGTTGGATCTGCCTGGTAGCAGTAGCATCCAGGAGGCCTGGGGTGGCGAGGAAGGCCTCAACCAGGAATGCTGTCCTAGCAACAAAACCGCATTTCCCGGTGTGTCCATGAAGCCATGCATCCGGGCCACGCCCCTAGCAACAGGGCTCACCCTCCCTGGCAACAAGACCAGCACTGGCCAGTAACAGAGAGTTGTGTAACCAAGGCCACGCCCCTAACAGGACCTGCTTTCACAGGAAACTGAAGCTGTGCACAGCCATGTCCCTAGCAACAGGCCCCGCCCTCCCCCACTGACAATAGAACCCACCCTCTCTGTAAGTCAACTGATGCAGTGCAACAAGGGCAGCTGCCCTAGCAACAGGAGGCACTCTCCCTAGCAACCACTCTAGGCTCCCCAGCAATGTAGGTCCCATCCTGCTGCTCTGCCCAGTGCTCCAGAAATGAGGGGTCAAGCGCCTTCCAAGCTTGCCTGTCCCCAAATTGGAGCTTCAGCCTGGCTTGGGATACTACTCAGTACTCCTGTCCCCACCCAGCGACGTTTCATCACCCCCTCCCCAGTCCTCATGCCCCATGCTCCCTCTACTCCTGCCCTGCTTGGCTTTCTGTTCCTACACACTCCAAGCACGTTCCCCGCTGGGGTGTCTGCACTAGCCCTGTCTGCCCGGAATGCTTCCCCATAGCCCTGCTGCAGCTAGGCCCTCTACCCTGGTGACATGCAGGCTCTTCCAACTGGCTGGGCCCCACCAGGACAGACATCTCTCTCAGGCCAGATCCCAGCATACAACCCAACAGGCACTGGCCCTGCCCCTGCAACTGTTGGGCATTCTCTGGCCCTGCCCCACTGGCTCAGCCTCTGAACCTGGATGTGAGCATGCCCTCCTGGCTCCCAGCCCCCTCAAATGAACCCAGCTTTGTGGCTAACATAGAAAGCCCTGCCTCCACTGGGGGCGTCCCTCCAAACCTTCCCACCTCTTACACACCGTGAGACGGAGCAAGCACCTGGCCTCTCTGTGCCTCTGTCTCCCCCTGCTTTGCTTGACATGACCCATGGCACTGCCTCCCATTCTAAAACCTGAGCAGGTGTCCCAGTGCTGAATCATTCTCCAGGAAATCCTGCACCTATAGGCCTCAGTTTCCCCATTTGTTTCCTGCGGCCCTCCAGGCCTGCCGGATGGCCCAAAGCTTCACTACCAGGGGAGTCCTGTGCCCAGACATCCCCCAGTGCAGCTGGCTTCGTCTCAGCCCACTCACCTTTGGCAGCCTCAGTTCGCTTGGGCAGGTCCAGCGTGTCAAAATTCCGGTCCATCTCACCATCCTTCTTTCCTGGAAAGGTGGCAGGAGGTGAGGCGGACCCCATAAGGTGCACGGGTGTGTCAGGAGGGGTGGGCACAGTTCCTCCTGCCCAGGCCCCAAAAAGCACCCCCACATCCAGGCCGGGGCACTAAGAGGCCCTAGGAGTAGGGTACTGCTGTCAGAGTCTGGGCACAGTTTAGCCCAGGGGAAGGAGTTGGTGGCAGTGGGGCCGGGGGTGTCCCATCCCTGCCCCTAGGACTCATCTCCCACCTGGCGCTGGGAGCTGTCCCTCCCAGCAGTTCCACTGCAACTGTCAAGTGTGTAGACCGAGGAAGCCAGGAGCCCTGGCTGGATGGCAGGTGGCTATACGCAGAGAAACTGAAGGCTGACCGGGACAAGACTCGCTTGGGTCACACAGTAAGGCAAAGCTGGGGAAACTCCCCCAGTCTGGGGTCAGGACATCGTCCAGGCTCTACTAGTCAGAAGAAACCGACAGCAGCCCACCTAACATCTGTGCAGCCACCTCCGTGACAGTGAGCCCTGTCTCTCAGCCACTCTCCCGGTCTCAGATGATGCTTCTGCCCTTTCGGGAGGCAGCAGAGCAGGGCCAGATGACCTGGGGTGCCTGCCTGCTCACCCTCACGGGACACTTGTATCCTCTGAGCCACATGCTGCCCCATTCTATCAGAGAAACACACTCTGCTCCCAGGTGTCACTAGACAGAAGCACACCGTGGGCCCTGCCCACTCTTGGCTCTGCCCAGGTACGCAAGTCTGAGGTTACAGAGTGAGCCTCTTGGCCTCCCCACCTGCCACTGTCATAAAGATGGCAGCCCAAGTGACGAAGCCAGGGCTGGGGCAGGGCCCTGCGGCTGGAGTGTGCTCCCCTCTTTCCAGGCGCCCACTGCACATGCCAGGCCTGGAGAGCAGGATGAACAGGGACTCACCTTGGTGGAACCACTCCTCTGGGCGGCCGGAGGAAGCAGAGGAGAGAGGAGAGGAGCCTGAGCGGGCAGCACCCGTCACCCCCCATGCCCTCCCAGGGGCCTGAGGTTCCCACTGCACACCCTGGACCAAGCAGGCAGCATGTGGAACTTCATCCCACCACTTCTGGGCACTGAGCATCCACCAGTAAGACAAGAAAGGGGAGGCCTAGGTCAGTGAATGGGCAGGTGGTACACAGGACCCCACAGCTGCTGGGGAGGTCCTGGGAACCTACACCCTGCCAGTGCAGTGGAGGTGTGCAGGGCATCTCTCCTGGGCAAATGGGCTGCCGCACAGGCTAGTGGTAGTCTATAGTTACTCTGAACAGTCAGCAGGCGGCGTCAGCCATGGCTCCTCCCCAACTTGCGGGCCAGTGAAATAAATTCTTCCCAGGAGTGGAGAGAGAGTCTGGGCACTGATGGGACCACCTGGTTCCCACTGTGTCCTCCCTGGGGGTCCCACAGTACAGATGGGGAAGGCTGGAGCTGGGCCCCATCAACCATGTGACTCAGGGCTGTGCAGCGTCCTCAGCTCCCTGCTTCCCTGCCTGCCTGCTGGGGGCTGGCCAGGTGTCCTCTGGCCTCCATGATGGGCTGCTGTGGGTGTACAGAGAACCTTTAGCTAGAGCAGGAGTCGAGAGTGGTACCCCAGTCCACCCCACCCACCTTTGGCCTTCTTGCCACCAAAGCAGCTGGCATCATCCCGCCTTCGGCGCTGGGAGCCTACAGCACTGCCCAGGGGCCCAGGCTCGGCCTCCTGGTACCTGTCGGCCCCGGGCACCTCCTTGTGCACGTGGTAGGACAGATTCCGCATGATGCACACGCAGTTCTCCACCGACTGCAGGGAGAGGTGAGTGGCTGGGGCAGGGCACCCTCGGCACAGGGCCAGCCCTCAGGAAAGACTGGCCACAGCTGGTGTGCGTTAAAGCACCGGGAGCAAAGGGACAGGGAGGCCTCAGTAGGTGGGGGGGGAGGCAAAAGGGTGGTAACTGCCAGGGAGGGTCCACAGGAGGAAGGCCCTGCCTCAGAACCACCTTCCACCTACAACACTGTGCCCACTTCAGTGTGGCCACTGCAAAGCAAGCCACGCCCAGGGCGCCACCCCAGACCCTCAAGCCCATTCTCCTGTGCGGCCCCCAACAGCTCTGGCCTCCCGGGACCTTCGTGGTCATCTCTCCCACCCTTGGCATGAGGCTGTAACTGTCCCGCCCACCTTATTGTCCGTGTCCTTCCGGCCCACCGCTGACTGCAGGGCATGCAGGAGCGCGTCCACCAGCCCTTCACACTCCCGGAGCCGCCGCCGGGCCTCTGCACCATCGGAACTCACATTCCTGTGTGGCCAAGAGCAGGCCAGGTGACCCCTGGCCACCAGAAACTCCCCAGCCCCGCCCTGACCTCAGGGGCTTGTCTTCATCTGCAAAATAGGCCCTGCTGCTGCCCTCTCAGTCTACTGGGAAAGGACCTTGCAGCCTAGAGCTCAGTGAAGGGGGAGAAGCTAACTGCCCCCAGACCTCAGGAGGGGGCCCTGGCAGACAGCTGTCTTGGTTGGGGACAGCTGGGCAGGGGAAGACAGGGCTTCCCTGCCTCCCAGATGACCTGGAAAGGGACAGGCAGACTCAGACCTGAACCTGTGCAAGAGCAATTCTGGGTCCCTCACCACCCCAATGGCAGCTCTGGGCCCCACCTTGCTCCAGGGTCAAGAGCCTGAAGGGTTAAGGGGAAACACCCTGATGGACAAGCAGGACTGTGGGGACTCAGGACACTGTGGGGTTGGCAGAGCCTCCCAGGGGTAGGAGGGGAAAGGCAGAGGTCACAGGTGGCTGGAATGAGCCTCCCAGGTAGATGAACAGGAAGGTCCCATCTTTCCCTCTGGCTGTCCACATGATAGAAAGGTGGGTGGAAGCTGGGCAGGGCTAGGGTACCACAGAGACCCCTCCAGAGGGTGCCCCTGGGGAGATTGGGGCACCACTTGAGGCTAAGAACAGCCCCTCAGGCCCCACTTCTCATCCACAGGGCTTGCGCCACAGCTCTGAAGTTCCAAAGGTCCGGGTGGCTGGCCGCCATCTTCCACGCCATCTGGGACCATGAGGACAGGGGCAGGGCCAGGTGTGCACGTGGGCTTTAGCACTGGGTCTTGTCCACACCTCAGGCAGCCTGACGTGTTCTTGAAGACAGTTGTCCACTCGGCATCCCGTGGCTTGGAGTCCTCATTGGGCTCACGCTCCCACCCTGAGTGGGGCACGATGACCTCGTGGGTCAGCGTCTGCAGGCCATGGTCAATGATGGCCATCTTCAGGGGCTCATAGGACGACAGGTTCCACAATGTGCCTGTGGAGTGCGATCGGCCAAGTCTTGCTGACCATGTGCATCGCGTCCCACCTCCCCAGGTGGCCATGCTCAGGACCTGTCCCACTCTCCTCCTGTCCCAGCTCACACACAACAGAAGTAACAAAAGCCGTGAGTGGTTATAAGGGGCACACAGTACTGGCTTCCAGCCAGGAAGGAGCCCCAAAGGGGATGAGGTGCAGAGGAGGGCGTGGCACAGCTGTTCCTTCCCACCCACTCCCTGCCACATGGCACGAACACTCTCAAGGCCACAGGGCCTCATGGAGACACGGTCAAGTGACCCCACCTGTCCCTAAGGTCCCACAAGGCGCAAGCTCCACCACCGTACTGTTGGGGTGGGAACCAAGGAGGCAGGTCCCAGGGGAGGTTCTGTGGGGTCAGGAGGTGAGGGGCATGCCTGGGGGGCCCAGTGTCAGCCTCCCTGCTATGGTAGAGACTGGGGACCTGTCACAGTGTCTGGACCTGGCGCCTGCCTCCTGGGGCAAGCATCTCAGCAGCTGCACTCCTGCCAACCCGCGTGCTTTCCCAGGCAGTCGCAGGCCAAGTGGCCTCGTTCCTCCCAGGCTGAGCCCTGTACCCTTTGCTTCCCGGGGATGTGGGCACAGCCAGGTCCCACTCACCAGTGACAAGCTCGCGGACCTCGTTGTCACGGGCGGCCCGCAGCAGGCGCACCAGGGCAGGCACACCACCACAATCCCGGATGGCGGCTTTGTTGTCAGTGTCGCGGCCATAGGAGAGATTGCGCAGTGCCCCACAGGCCCGGCGCCGCACCTCGGCCCGCGGGTGGTCCAGCAGCGCCACAAGCAGTGGCAGCCCCCGCAGCTGCCGCACACGCCGCTTGACACCCTCGTTCTCAAAGCACAGGTGCTGCAGGTAGGCAGCCGCATTGGCCTTCACGGGGTCCACGGGGTGCCGCAGCATGGCCAGCACCTCAGGCAGCTCAGGGTCCCGCCAGCGCGGCTCCTTGCGGGCACTATCCACTGAGGGCGAGCGCCGCACCAGCCGATCCAGGCTGCCCAGACTGCCCCGTTCGGGCTGGGCCAGGGGCGCTGTCACCGCTGAGAAGGCAGGCCGCTCATCCAGCAGCTCGCCGCCATCATCTGCAGCATCCTCGTAGGCCCTGCACAGGCGAGTGGGGCACATGGACGTCGTCACAGCAGCCACCAGCCCTGCCTCTGAGCTGCCCTATCACACCTTCTTCAGGACTGCAAACTCAACCCGCAGGGCTGGGCTGGGAGCACAGTATCTCAGCCCGAAGCATGGTGGGGGCATGGAGAGTCACACACCAGCCCAGTGAGAACTGATTTAGAGCCAAATGCCAAGCCCCAGCCAGCGGCTCTCGGTCCCCTGGCAACCCACCCAGGACAGAAAGCTTGCTTACTGCTGTCACCAGGCGGTGTTCCCCGATCCCAAGCAAAACATGTTTCTGTGCAGCATCTGCTATGGCTGCTGGAGAGCCCCACCTCCTGTCCACAAAACCACCCATCTTCCACGAAGCCCATCTCTGCCTGTGCCAGGATGCAGGGGGAGTAAATGACCCTCTCTGCATGAAGCCATCCCAGTAGGACCACCAAGGGGTATTCAGGCCACCAGACCCTTTGGGTACAAGATCTCCTTAGCTCTCAGTAGCCCTGTGGGTTGCTGTCATCAAACCCACGGGCCCGAGGCTAGGAGTGGCCAGATGACTTGGCCAAGGTCACATAGCAAAATCCAGACTCGGGTTGTGGTCATGTCCCTACTCCAGAGAAACAGAAACTGAGGGCAATGGAGACAGAACCAAGGGCTGTGACAGGAAGGGCCCGGGATCTGGGTTCTGGTTATCCAGTGTATGGCTGGAGCAAGGCCAGTGGCCGGCACTCTTCCCAGCTTTTCTCGGGCCCTGGGCCTGCAGGACGGTGCCCAGCCGAACTCCTACCACCCCAGGGCCCACCTTTCTTCTGTCCCTGACAAAACCCAAGGGCAACTCAAACTAACATGCATGACTAACTCAACTGCAGCCACTTGACAAGTGGAGCACCCTGTAGCTGGGGGGTGGAGGGTGGACTTCCCAGAGGAGGCAGCCACTGGGGACACGGTGCAGCTCACCTGGTGTGAAGGCCCCGCCCACACTCAGGCCTCCTCCTCGTGGCTGTGCCATAGTCAGGCTCTAGCTCAGGGCCGCCCTCGTCATCAGCGGCCAGGCTGCGCGTGTCATCCTCCAAGCCATACGGCTCTGCCTGGAAGCGCTCGGGCAGGGAGCGGCCACCTGGTGGCCCAGGCTCAGGACCCACTGGGAAGGCCTCCCGGTGGCCAGGCAGTGTGAAGCAGCCGTCGCCAGGGCCTGGGCCAAGCGGGCCAGCACGTGGGGGCCGCATGCCCAGCCCTCGGGACAGGCTGCCATAGCTAGGGCCGTCCCGGGGATCGGGGCCTTCGGGAAAGCTGCCCCCACTGGTGAGGTAGGCTCGAGAAAGTGTGGCCACTGGGCCACCACCACGCAGCAGGAAATGCCGGTCCAGGGCACCATCGGCAAAAGGGCCTAGTGGGGGGCCACCATCCAGCAGGGGGAGTCCGTCCGGGCCCAGGGGCACCTGGCGTACTGTCCGAGTGGTCACCGTCTTGACAGTCTTGGTGACCTGGTGGATGGACAGGCAGATAGGTGCGGCAGCCCGAGAGCCCTAGAAACTGCCCTGCTGGGGCCTGGCTCTCCTCGATTTCCCACTCGAGCAATGAGAGGCCCCAGGTGGCAAGCTTCCCTGACCACTCTGCAGGCGGGACAGCTGCCGTGGCCTGGCCTGCTCTCCCACCCACCGCCTGGGCCTGGCCATACCTTGGTCTCAGTGCGCCGGGTCGTGCCATCTTCGGATGTGACAACAGACACATGGGAGGTGGGTGTGCCGGGATCCTCCTCCACCGTCACGGTCTCCTCCAGCACGTCAGGCGCCTCTGGCATCGTGGCCAGTGAGGCCTGGCTGCCTGGGCTCTGCTCCTGGGGTGAGGAGGGGCGCTGGTGGGCAGGCCTGCTGCTCAGTTGTCCCTGCAGTGCAGGTCCCCAGGCACAGCAGCTATGCCTCGGCTCATGCTGGCCAGGACACCAGGATGCCTTCCTCCTGGTCCTGAACCCACCCATCCCAGGGCCTGTCTTGGCCCAAGCTGGCAAGGACAGCAATGAGTTCTTGCCCTCTGAACATCGAGGTGCTAAGCCTGCCCTGGCACCCCATCCTGGGGGGACTCTGGGGCTGGCCCCGGTCCTATGCTTCCTCAGGCTGAGTTGGCAGGTAAGGCCACAGACCCTGGGGATGAAGTCTAGAGCCGCCGCCCCCCCCAACCCCCTGCACAAGTTGCAAGGCCCAGCTACCTCAGGTTCCTCCAGGCCCCAGAAGGCACCAGTGAGACCTACCTGCAGGAAGCCTTCCAGATGTCACCCACCACCCCTAGCTGGGACCTCATGGTGTGCTGGGGCCTCTTCCCTCACTTGCCCTCAGAAACCTTGAGTATAGAAGCCTTGTGGAGGCTAAGGTTCCTGCCACCAAGGCCAGCCAGACGCCCTCAAGGGACAGAAATACCCAGCTCCCAGAATACTCCATGCACCTGGAGCACTAATATATCCTTACTCCTTCCAGCCCAGACATTCCTGAGTGTTGCAGAGGCACAGCCTGGCCCTACCTCGGGCCAGTGGCTGGCGCCCCCAGTAACTGAGACTCTGGGCATCGTATCAGAGACCACACAGTCGATTTAAGCCTATGGGTCCCCTTGCCACCATCATGCATGGGGTGATGAGACTGGAATTCTAGGCAAGACAGCTCTGGACTGAGACTCTTTTACCCGCGTGCCTACTGGCTGGACTTGACAGTGGGGAAACTGAGGCTCAGAGAGACTAGGCTGGACCACATCAGAGCCAGGCCCAACCCCTACTGCGCTGAGTGGCCTTGAGGACCTGAGACCCACAGCCTGCCTCGGCCTCTGACTGCACAGGTGCCTGGCCCCAGGGCCACATGGCGCTAACATCCGGGGTTTGGCATCCAGCCAGGATGGGCAAGAGCTGAAATCCAAGCCCTGGTGGGTGGGTGAGGGAGAGCACATTCCCAGGCAGCCAGGGCAGGGTCAGCAGGAGGACAGGCCCCACTCTGTGGCCTAGGCCCCTGGGGCCTGCACAATGGGTCCCTTGCCTGGGCCCCCTGGGGCCTGCACAGACACCAAGCTCTGCCAAGCTCCAGAGGCAGACTCTGTCCATCCTTGGGCCTGGGAGGTAAGCCAGGCAACATGCTCAGGGCTGTCCTCAGGACCTGCTGCAAAGACCTGTGGACTGGAAAGCCTCCTCAGGTCAGGGTCCTCTCCTGGGAGAATACTTGACCCCCGAATGTATGCAGCGCAGGTGTCCAGGAAGGGGCCTGCACCAACACATTAGGACAGGTGTATCCCTCAGGTTCAGTGACAGAGGAAAGAGGTGGCCACAGGAGGCACCTGCCCCTCTCCCATGGGCAGGACCTTGGAGGATGATAGGTAACTACAGATGGGGAAACTGAGGCCTGGCAGGTGGAGAGGATTTACCTAGAACTTCACAGCGCAAATGGGATTTCAGGCACCCCCAGAGAAGGCAATCTGGCAAGGAAGCCTTTGGGCCTCATCTCACCCTCAGTCTTGAGATGTAGGTGGAATGCCTGCTGGCGACCTGGCTAGGAAAAGGGAACCTCTGTTCCCTGGGAAAAAGAAATAGATTGAGGCCGGGCGCGGTGGCTCAAGCCTGTAATCCCAGCACTTTGGGAGGCCGAGGCGGGTGGATCACGAGGTCAAGAGATCGAGACCATCCTGGTCAACATGGTGAAACCCCATCTCTACTAAAACTACGAAAAATTAGCTGGGCATGGTGGCACGTGCCTGTAATCCCAGCTACTCAGGAGGCTAAGGCAGGAGAATTGCCTGAACCCAGGAGGCGGAGGTAGCAGTGAGCCGAGATCGCGCCATTGCACTCCAGCCTGGGTAACAAGAGCGAAACTCCGTCTCAAAAAAAAAAAAAAGAAATAGATTGAGACCCAGAGTGAGGACAACTGGCACGCTGCCAGGCAAGGCAGGCTGGGCTCTTTCCAAAGGCACTGGGGAGCTGGGACTGCTCTGGAGCAGAAGGCTTGTGTGGCCCATCACTACCGGGGCTGGGCTGCCCCGTCCATATCTGGGAAATGTGTGTCAGGCCCTGAGCTTTCTCTGCTGGGCCCTGTGGGGACTCGTCAGAGTTTTAGCAGGGGGCCAGGCACTGAGGGGCTGCAGCTCTGACCATGGGGTGAGGGGGGTATGAAGCAAGACTGAGGGAACGTTACACAGGACATTCTGTCAGAGTGGTACAGCCCCTCATATATGCATATATTTACATATATTAAAGACTGAGACAGGAGCCCCCTACTCCCTAGCTAGGCGCAGGGGGAAGGAGGAGAAGAAGGGAGGACATCTCAGGACCTCGATGCCACTTTGTGGCCCAGCTTATCCCTCCCACCAAGGTTATGGTAAGGGTCTGACAGTACAGAGCTGGGGTGATCTAGGAAAGCCAGGCCCGCCCCCCCCCAGCAAGAGCTGGCAACCCATCGGGATCACCTGCCAGTCTCATCCCAGCAGCACGACAGCAGGATCCCAAGGCCCCAAGAGTCCCTGATGGCAAATGACCTCAGGGAGCTAAAAACGAGCAATGACTTCACCCTGGTGGCGGGAGCATGAGTCAGCCAGTGATCACAGGAAAGCCCGGCCCCCGAGACACATGGCTGGGCACACACACATGCATGTACATGACCCCTCCGACAGAGACACATGCATGTACACACGTGTGAGTACCCAGCCCCGCAGAGGCCGAGCACATCAACCTGCGTGCTCTAACAGCACCCCACGGGCATGGTGCCCACTGTTCCCAGAGGCACACTCGTGAGCACACATCCTCCCATCCTCCACCTGTGGGTCCAGACCTTTATCCACACAGGGCCTCACAAACTCTCAACACACAGGGACAGGGGCCACCAACTCCGCCGATCGCCTCCCCAGCATCCACTCTGGGAGTCTCAGAGCTGGCTGGCAGATGGGGAAACTGAGGTGTAGAGCGGATAGGCCCATACCTATCTGGTGGCTCAAGTCTCTGTAACATCTTTAGGGTGGGGCTGTGGAATGGGTGGGCTGACTCTCAACAGAGGAGCTGGCTGCAGTCCCTGGATCCCTGTCTGGCCCCGGCGCCATGTCTGACATGCACCTGCCCGGGCTGGCCCACGCTCAGGGTCCCTGACCCCGCAGCCCCACACAGCCTCTGCCTCAGACTCTGGGCTGTTCCCGTCTGCACCCTGGACGCCCCACACCAACCCCACAGGCTGCATCCTATCAGTCATCTCTCATACTCCCTAACCAGCTGGGGCCCCATCCTTGTCCCTCTTGTACCCTGCCCAGCCTCCCAGCACTCATCCCTCCCTTGGCTCTTCGATCTCTGGTGCACCAGGTCTGGGGCTGCCAGGACTAGCCCGAAAACAGCCTGGGGTTTCCCATGAGCTCCCTTGGACTTGTGGGAGGGGCCAGAGTGACCAGGAAGGTAGACCTCCTACCCCTGCTCACAAGAGGGTCCTGGGAGCACAGGGCTGAGCCAAGTATAGGGGCTCTATACCCCATCACGAACCTGGAGCTCAGCTTCTTCACAAGGACGTGGGAAGGACATAAGGGGCTGGGGCCGTGGGACATGCTGGGTAGCACCAGTCACACCTTTGTGGCAAAATGCAAGGAACGCAGGGAGCAGAAAAGCAAAATCAGACCAAAACACAGAGGGGCTGCTGGGGGTCAGGGGGCTGGGTCCGGGTCCCATAGCACTTATCCACCAGAACCCAGACTTCACAGATGCAAAACCACAGTCTGTGTCCTGAAGAACAGACTGCAGGGGCAGGCACCTCCCCTGTCCAAGGCCTGGCTAGCACACACAGGGAATGAGTTAAGGTGAGACTGCATACCTGGATCCCACACCTGCGGGCCAGGCTCCCAGAGGGCACCAGGTGGCTGCTGCCAGATGGATGAATGAATGACGCTTCTCCATCCCCAGCATGGCCCTCCCAGGTAGAGTCCAGAACAAGCCAGGCTGGCATCTCCCACCAGGTAGGAAGCCCTTGGCCACCACAAAACGCCCTCTCCCTTGGTGCCACAGCCTCTGACCAGTCTCCAGGACCTGGAGCTCGCCCCTCCACACAGTAATGCACCTGCCAGGGCGTGGTCCCAGGCAGCGCAACCAAAAAGCCAAGCTGGGGGAGCAAACTTGGGGTTGGAGAGCAGGGCTGGCTGTCATCCACCTCAGCTTCCCCAAGCTCAGCTCAGGGTCACAAGACACACTGTGACCATGAATTTCCCAAAAACTGGTCCCTCCATCTCTGAAAGCCAGACCCTGGGGGCCACACCAGGGCTGTACGACAGGCAGGGGCCTGGTTGCCCAGGTAGGTAGGTGTGTGGGAAACCTGCCTCCTACCACAGATGATCCTGGCTGGTCTTTTCTCTGCTCAGCCTCAGTTTCCCTGCCTGTTACCAAACCCACACTGCTCTGAGCAGGGGGCAGATTGCCTACGCCTCCCCCTCACCTCAATGCTGAGAGGGGGAGGACCCCGGTTTTCCCTGGAGATCCCCTCCAGCATCAATAGGTGGGCAGGGCCTGTCTCCACCCCTCCCATCACGTGCGCCTCGGAGGCAGAGAGAACTTCCATTAAAGCTCCGGAAGCTCCTTTGCAGGTCCTGGGAGTCAGAGCCCGAGTAGGGGGTGTGGAGGGAAGAGGAGGAAGCCCCTCAGGGACCAGAAGGCCTACCTGGGCTTCCTTCTCCAGACTCAGCCTCCCTCCTGCACAGACAGAAGCTGCTCAGGAAGGCCCTGGCCCCCCACCCGGGTCCCCAGGCACCTGTCCTGGGCGCTAGCCGAGAAGCGCCCACCAGCTCCCGGCCAGCTCCAAGCGGAGAGTCAAACTGCCAGGGGTCCCGGCCCCCAGCCCCTGGAGATAGCCTCCAGAGACTCCGCAGCCCCTCCCGCACACCCGGGGACACCGCGCTCACACCACCACCCGCCCGGCCCCGGCCCCAGCCCCAGCCTGACGCAGCCCAGCCAGGAGCGCCAGACAATAGCCGCCTCGGGCCGGCGGCTCCGCGGAACAAAAGCGGGTCTTGCCGGGCAGGCCGGCGCCCCGCCCTCCGCCTCTGACCCCGGGTCAGGGTCTCCCCAAGCCAACTTCCCTCCAACCTGTCTGAGTTCGGCCGGCATCGGGCCGGAGCTCTGGGGGCGCTGGCCAGCAGCGGGGGGCGGCGGCGGCGGCTGGACCGGGCTCGGCTCGGCTCCGGCGCCTCGGCCGCTCGGGCTCAGGCTCGGCGGACTCGCTCCCTGCGGGGGCGGATCTGGCGGCGGTCGCGGCGAGCAGCCAATCGGGCGGGGCCGCGCCCAGGTGGGGCGTGGCAGGGCAGGGGAGGGCGTGGCGGGCGGGCGGGGTGAGGTCCCGCCCCCCAGAGGGCCAGGGCGGGGCCCTGCAGCCCCCTGTCGCCCCCTGTCCCTCCGACCCCCGTGCCCCCGCCCGCGGGCCTGGGTTTCTGATCCCTCCCCCTCCCTGCGGCAGGGTTGTCATTTTCCCGCCGAATGACTTTGGCCAAGTCCTTCCCAGTCCTCGGTTTGTGAGCACACTTTACTCCGCCTGCAGAGGGGGAAACAGTTCTGGCAGGGGGTGCCAGTTCCTGCAGCTGCAATGGACAGAGTGCAGGAACTCCCTCACAGGCACAAACCTGGCTGACTCAGTTTCACCTGCCATGAAATGGGGGCCGATGGGACAGTGGTCACAGCGCTGCAAGATCCCCCCAGTCTCTCAGATCCCTCCTCACGCTCCTGCCCAGCCACCACTTGGAACGGGCCTGCGAGGAACTGTCCCCACAGAGCTCAGAGGGGACCTGGAAAAGGGCCCTGCAGGGGACCCCTACTTTGTGTCTTGGGTTCTCCCCATCGAGGCACAGAAGCCCCGAGTGCACCCCCATCCCTCCCCCAGGTGGGCCTCAATGTGGGCCACACCCTAGGGAATCTGGGCCTGCTGCTGTGAAAACACAGGAGGAGAGGGGTGGGGCTGGGGCTATCTTCGCTTCAAACTGCACAAAGTCCAAGCCAATGGCTCCAGTATCACAAACAGGGAGACAGGTTCTGAGATGAAATGGGCTGGTACCAGCCCAGGGAGGCTCAGTGGGTCTGGCAAGAGAAGGGGCTTGGACCCAGGTCTCCCACGGGATTCTCCGCAGACCACTCCCTGCTGCCCTGAGTGCTGTACGGAAGCCAATCGGTTAGCAAGCTCAAGATTCTAGGTGCTCACCATGTGCCCTTCAGAGCATCAGTTCCCCCACCTGCAGAGGGGTGAGCTACCCTACCACTGGCCAAACTCGAACCCCTGCATCTTCCATCTAGGGCAGGCCTGCCTGGAGCCCCCGTAGCAGAGCCCAGAGGACCAGACACTGCACCAGAAACATGTCCACATCTTATCTTTAAGCTGGCTCCATCTCAACTGCACCAGCTGTTGGTACCCCGGCCACCTACCTACCTCAGATGAGCCCAAGGGAAGTTCCCTGATGGCACCCCACCCCACTGGGTGGACATCAGCCCTGCTTTAGCTGGCTGTCTAGAGGAGGGGCCCCTTCCTGCTGGAGGATGAAGGGCAGTAGACAGGACCAGGCAGCAGCACTCCCCCTGGCCTGGCTTCCCAGCTTCAGCCCCCAGCTACCTGTCTTGCCATTGCCCTGGCTTAAGCAGAGGCTCTGACCCTGTGGCTCAGCAAGTAAATCACTAGGCACATCCTACCAAGATCAGTCTGGGAAGCCTGGCCAGCCCAATGTGGCCCTGCCTCCCCTAGTGTTCCCCATCAGCCCAGACAGTTGAGCTGCAGCCCTGGTAACACATGCTCTCTTCAATCCCAGCCTGAGAAAATCAAGGGCAGGGGTGGAAGGTGGGGCATTCAGGGGCAGGGGTGGTAGGTAGAGGGGCAGTAGCAAGAGGTCTTGAAGTCTTTTGCCTGAGGAGGTCAGGGTAGCTCCAGGCTGTGGGAACATCTTCCCGCCAGGGCATCAACCCTCCGGGGTGCTTCGGGTCCTCCCATGCTGCCTGTCTGAGGGCTGTTCCGGTCTGGGAGGCCTGGACTGAGCACACTGGCGCCTGAGAGGCAGCCTCTGGGTCACTGGCTTCCACTGTCCCCATGTGGCCCGGCTGGGCCCAGCGTTCTGCTTCCCCAAACTTGAAGACTCAGGGAGTAGTCACCAACCCCAGGTCCCTTGGCCTAACAAGGGATGCTGGTTCTGAGCCCCATGTGCCCAGCCAGGTGAGAAGAGCCCATGGGGCTGCCTCCACAGAGACCAGCATTTGCTCTCTTTCTCTCTAGACGAGAAGGGCCAGGCTGCCCCAAGGCCCGGGCATGTGTGTGCCAGATGCAAGTCCCTAGAGTCAGAGCTCAGCAGGACCAAAGAAAGGCAGGTGGGAGTGCAGGTGCTGGGAGTGAGCTGCGGGGAGGTCTGGCTGCCGGGTTTAGTGGGGCAGGAAGCTGAGCCAGGGAGACAGGACTCTGCTAGGAGAGCCCTCTAGGGTCACTATGTGAAGAGCCCAGAGGCCACAGCAGGAGGCAACTGCCCCAGCTTCTAAGCTGGGTGGTGAGGAGGGGCCCCTTTTCCTGTGGCTGCTGGGGCAGCTCCGCCCTGACTCCCCACTGCACTAGGCCTCAGTCAGTAACAGGAACCATGACAATCACACCACATCCCAGGTCTCCTTGCATGACCTTGTTCCGGCCTCCCCACCCCAAGCCAGTGGCTCTTGCTGTTCCATCTACAGGTTAGAGCACCGGGGGGCTGAGAGTGGGGTGTCCTGATGGTCTAACTGCTCACTGAGCACCCCAACTTTAGAGTTCTTAGGGCCTGGCCATGAAACACAGATGGCTCTATACCCCCTGGGGCTGAGCAGGGGCCTGAGCCTAGTCTGAGGATAATGGCCAGCAGAGAAAAGAAGGCTCCCATGTCAGCCTCCAAGCTTCAGGCAGAGCTCTGGGCCTTGCTCCAGCCTCCTCCTGGGGCTGACCCACCAGTGCATACAATGAACACTGTGGCAGGGTTAGGCATGGTGCAGGCAAACCCGTCTGTGTCTCTAGGCAGACCAAGGAGCTGCCCAGAATAGACCCCCCCATCCAGCTGCCTGGGCCTGAAGGCTCAGTGGAGGGTGCTGTTCTGAGTGTCGGGCTGTGTCCTGTCTACTCTTCACATGATGCTTAGCATACCCAAGTGGGACTTCCAGCCCACCATGGGATCCCATTTTCATTTCCTCCCCAAGGGCCCTAGCAAATCTTGCAATAAGCGACTGCATGCTGGTTTGTGGTCCACCAGGACCCCCTGATTGTTTCCCCTCTTGGCAATTTTCACCCTTCCCAAGTCACTGGGCTATTACCTGGAGGACCAGCTGCCACTTGGCAGTTTTCACCCTTCCCAAGTCACTGGGCTGTTACCTGGAGGACCAGCTGTTGCCAGGCCATTGGCAGGGGCTGCCCACCGCCCAAGCCACCACTGACCATGCCAGGCTGCTGGGCACGCTCCAGCTGCAGGGCAACATGGCGCCGTTCCTGCTCCAGCGCCCGTGTCAGCCTCTCGAAGCGGGCCTCCTGCTCCTTCACCGAGGCCAGGATGCTGGCGGCCGAGTGCACATTGCAGTCCTCCATGACCAGGGCGCCCGCCAGCTGCAGGCAAAGCAAAGCAAGCTCAGTGGGGTGGGGCAGCAGCCTGACAAGGCCATCATGGGCCCCTGCCCACCCCACTCACAGACCATACAACTCACTCCCAGACCAGAGCATCCAGCCCTCTAGAGGGAAGCACATTGACTAAATTCTAAATTAAAAGCCATTAATCTGAGGCTGGCCGGAAGCAGCCAGCTCACTCCCCATGGGTCATGGGACTCTGACCTGGCTCCTCTGCTTCCTGCCAGGCCTAGCAGAACCATGGACCGTGGGAGGCTTGGAGCCCCACTGAGAAGGGCAGGGAGAGCTGGTATGGTGAGAGCTCCTTCCTCCCAGGCCCTCTGCTGCCCACAGTACAGGCCACCTCACCCTTTATTTCACAGGGCCACACCACTCCCATCTCACAGAGGCAGATGCCAGGGCCCAGAAAGGGTGGGGGACCATTTGCAGCCACACAGCTGGTATGGCAGGCCAGTGTGCCCAGGAAGCAGGGCGTGAGAAGCTGCAGGTGCCCAGGACCCCAAGGCAGGCACAGGGTGACCACAGCCTCCGAGCTACCAGCAACACTGGTCTGCAGACCGCCAGTCCAGCCTCCACTCACAGCCACGCCAGCCAGGAACAAGGGTGGTGCCTGCCACACATGACAGAGTAAAAGCTGAGGACAAGCCTGGCTGAGGTTCTGGCTGGGGCTACACGAAGTTAGAGACCCTAAGCCTGGAAGTGGCTGTGTGTGTGACGCCTTATGCAGAAGAGGGCAGGAGCCCAGGTGTCTGAGGCCAGGCACAGGGTGGGATCAGGTCTGCCTGGCCCAGTCAAACATTGCCCCTCAAGGCCTCAGGGCCCTAGGAGCAGGTGGGGGCTGCAGGGGCTTGGCAGCTGCAGCGACAAACCAGTGCTTTCCCTCCCAGCTTGCTCCCTGGCTGCCCAGCCTGTTTGTTTTTCATGGGTAAAAAGAAGCAGGACAAGTATGCAGAGCTCAGATCCAGGCTCAAGGCAGTGGGCAGGGCATGGTCACGAGGCCACAGTGCCCGGAGCACAGTGAGCATGGCCCGGTGCCCAGGGCTGCTCAGGCATCCCCCCGGCAGATCCCACCAGCCCACTGAGGCTGGCTCCGCTGCATCCCTTGCCCCTGCACCAATATAGGGCCCTGCATGGGGAGGACACGCACTGCAGGTGACATCCTCAGAGCATCAGCACCGCTGCTCACTGATCTGGATGGAGCCAGCTGCAAGGACAGAAACCCCAAGAAGAGCAGCACTGGGCTCAGCTGTGCCAGTGCCGGCTGGGCCAGCGACACAGTGCAGGGACATGGGTGAACCTCATAGGTGAAGAGACACTGTGGAGCCCAGAGCCACCAACAAGCTGGGGAAATAGGCCCAGCGAGGGTGAGAGACCAGTGCAGGCCCCCAAAGCTGCTCTCCATTTCCCCAGCACCTGTCCCACAAATGAAAACTGTCAACACGACCTTTCAAGGACGCCAGCATGAGTGGAGGAGCTGTTTTAAGCCAGCCACAGAATGGAAGAATGCGGGGAGAGCTGGGGGATGCCACCTGGGACTGAGGTGCAAACTGGACCCTCCAGCCACCAAAACAGCACCGCACGCCCAGAGCATGGCCGCACAGCTCTCGTCTACACACCTGATGCTGTCCACCCCTGGGCCCCGGACCCACTGACACAGGGGGGCCTTGTGCATGTATGGACTGAACCTTACTGGGAATGGAAGGGCCTTCTTCCTGGGAGGGATGGGGTGGGGGGCAGGGGCCATGTCGCTCAGCCCTCAGCCCAGTCTTGGCTGCAGCACAGCCCATCTCAGCCAAACCTTGGAATCAAGGGGCAGAAGGGAATGGGACACTGCCCTGGATGGCAACAACTGGGACCACAGGGTACTGTTGGCCTCGTGGACCTGGGGTGGTTCACTTCCCTCCCTGTGCAGAGACGTGGACCCTCACATGCACCACACAGCCTATCCCCCATCTAGCAGGACTAGGCCTGGACTGCAGACCCTGTGGACAGCTTCCCTGACCTAAGCCCCTCCAACACGCCCTGGCTCTGGGGTCTAAAGACGCCCACCCTAAAGGAGGCCCACTGGCTCTCGCTGGGGGCTCAGAACTCCAAGGCCACAGTGGGAAGGTGGCCAAACTCCACACTGACCTCATGGCCCGGCTTGGCTCGATTGGGGAAAAATGACCATATGTCTCCCTAGAGACATCTGGAAACACTGGCCAGTGTTGGGGGAGACAGTCTAGCAGCCACCCCCAGGAGAGCAGAGGCCTCGGTGCTGGGCCTGCGCCATCTTCCCCAGCTGTAGGGTGCGCCCTGCATTTGCCCTGGGGGGTGTCCTGAGCTCACAGGTCATGGCCTTGGCATCTCAGTTGCCTTGAGGGCAGCCCAGGATACGCTCCAGGCAGAGCACGGAAGGCCCAGGCCCACTCCCCTGACATGGTGGCCTCTGGCCTATGACAGGAAACCTTATGGATGCAGGGGGTCCTGGCCCAGAACCATAGAGGGCAGGTTTTCAGATAACTCAAAATGCCATTTTTATATTAAAACAAGAAATATGTGATGTCAAGGAAGGCAAAATGTGCATGGATTCTTAAAATCTATGGGGCCTGAGTGGATGCTGAGCAGGGTGGGCATCGGACTTGCTTTTGCTAGAGCCCAGGAGGGCGGCAAGGGCAGGCCAGGAAGGGGGGGCGCTGCAGGGACCCTGGCTGTCCTCTCCGGCCAACGCCACCTTGGCCACTCCTCACCTGGGAAGGGCCCAACGTTGCCTGTCAGGTGGACCTCTCATGACCCCCCAACCCAAAACAAAGCAACCAGCTTCATGCTCAACTCAGAGTAGGCCACTTCTTGTCAAACACGGTGGCCTCAGGAGCTTACTTAGAAGCAAGGCAGGAATGACACTGTGCAGCCCACGAGTGACTTCAGGACCATGTGGACAACACCACGTTCCAACCGGAAGACATCAGGAGCTGGGAGGGGCTGGAAAGGTCTGGGCTACACCGAAAAGTAAACTGCAAAACAAAAGTGACGACCCAGCCCCAGCAACAATGAACACTGGCCACACACCCATTGGGGTCCAGGACCAGGACAAGAGCCTCCCGGTGCTCTCACAGGATGAACCACTGGGCAAGCAGGTGGCCCAAGGGGAGAAGCATGGCAGAAGAAGGGGGTGGCCCAAGGCACACAGCCCATGGGAGACTAGAGGGAGGGCAGGCAAAGGAGAGATGGGGAAAGATGGCCAGGCAGATGGATTCAGGGATGAATGGGGGATGGATGAATGAATGAAGGGGTGGCTGGGGCAGTGGTGGAGGATGGACAGAGGGATGGACAGATGGCTGCATGCGTGGTGGGGGAGGGACAGAGATGAATGAATAAATGGGGGATAATGGGGGATGCACAGATCGATGCATGGATCCATCGGGGGGATGGTGGAAGATGAACATATAGATGAGTGAATGGATGGGTGGGTGGGGGATGGTGGGAGATAGACATATAGATGAATGGGTAGATGGGTGAGTGAAGGGATAGTGGAGGATAAACATACAAATGAATGGATGGATGGGTGAGTGAAGGGATAGTGGAGGATAAACACATAGATGAATGGATGGATGGGTGAGTGAAGGGAT